ATCCACATATCATCATATAAATCATATAATATCATTCATAGCACAAAAGCATACAAATCACATGTAATATATTTGTTGTTTTTTCTTATTAGCCTATGTACACATGTGAGAATTATAGATATGTGAGTCTATAGAGGTTGTGCACTAATGCTGTCACCACAACTCGTATAAATGCACTGAAGTGCCACGTAGAATTGCACCGTAGTGCCGCGTAGAAATGCACCGAAGTACCATATAAGGTTGTCCCTAAGGACCACGTAGAAAATTCCTTAAGAATCATATACATATGCTAATAATCAAGTATGTGTCTTAAAAGACCTTACACATGTTCCAAAGAATACATATATGTCCCGAAGGACCGCGTAGACCCTCAACTCTTGGCATGCCAACTATACCCTATCTCTCATGACACATAACATGGGCATCATCATTTATGTCATTTCACATTTTCACATAAACACGTAGTTCACTTTCACATAGCACGTAGATTATGTCACATAAGTTGAATCACATATACGTATAAACACGTAAATCACTTTCACATATCACGTAGCTCATATCCACTTTTCATACTATTTCACATTTCTTGTCACATTGCTTATATCTTATTTTTATGTCTTATCCTATATATATATATATTCACATGTTCATATAATCCATCATTTCATCCTCTAAATGTGTTTTCATATAATTCATCTTCCTATATATATATATATCATTTTCCCCATACTTGTATTCACATCATTTATTCTCCTTCTCATAATCTCATATGTCCTGATTAATAGCTTATATCATATGTATAAAATAACTTATCTCATATCATATAGCTTATACCTCATTCTATGATATTCACCTAGATCATATCCCATCTGCCATACTCATAAACATATGTCACTTCTATTATTTCATTTATACATAAACATATGTCACTTCTATTATTTCATTTATATACTAATTTAATCTATTTACCTAATTCAATTCATATGGTACTTATAACTTTCTAATATGACTACGTAGATTTCCATCATACAACCCATATATCATAATTTTATTTAAGCATATGTATCTTTCCCATCTAACTCATCTTATATGTTCCTATTATCACTTATGTTCAAGTCTCGTATCATCATATAGGTCAATATTATCTATCTTGTTTCCATTCTCATTCAATGATATAATTCTATTTTACTATTTCACATAAATGTTCATACCACTATTCACTTACCCAACTCACATTCTTATTGTTTATATAACCTTTACACTTGATTACTTCATTACCATCATTTCTTCTAAACTCACTTTTTACCATATTCCCATATTATTACCTAATTTATCCCATATCATGTATTTGCGCAATCTTATATTCCATTTCTATATATCTCAAAGATCTTATCACATAACTTCTCTTTTATATTCATATAATTTCTTATCATATCATCATAACATAGCATATATTCACATCAACCATGAAATACATATACAATAACATATCTACACATACCATAACATATAACTAGACACTCATAACAAACACATGTTCATGTTCATTCTTCATGCACAATACTATAGAAATTAGACTTGTCGCAAGTCTTATTTCCCATTAAACATCATATATAAATAATACGCACTCACCTTGGCCTCACTAAGTTCCAATCCATTTTTATAATTTCCTCTCTTGCGATCGAATCATAACTTGATAATCGCTCCGGGACTTGTTCGTGCTCGATATCTATATAATCATACATTGATACATATTAGTATCCAATTGATATACACTAATCTATCATTTCTTAGACCAAAATAAAGGTATAATTCTATTTCCCTTGAAGTGCATCGATGCATTCTACAGTGTATCGATGCATCCCTTAACATGTGCATTGATGCATTAATTGCATTCGATGTTTCCATTTTTAATGGGTGCATCGATGCACTTCCTGTGCATCGATACACTCTGAACAATTTCTGGAAATTTACCCTTGATGCATCGGTGCACCTTGAATGTGCACCGATGCACATAGCCCAGAATTCATTTTTAAGCCCGAAAATCTACTCAAATCAACTCAAATGCTTCATCTTTCAACCCCTTTCATGTTCTCAACTCATATACACATGCTTAAACCAATTTATATCCATATAAACCATCTTTAACTTCAAAATTCTATTCCTCATATGTAACCCAAGAATTAAACCAACTTTGCAATATGTTTTAATTCCAATTCTATGGCTTCTAACTTCTTAATTAGACCATTGACAAGTCAAATTTAACTTCCAACTCTAGTTATGAACTCTATTTCAAGATTTCACCCAAGAACCTCAAATCTTTAATCCCTACTAACTCCATCATACTTTGATTTTAAGATAACTTAAGCTTTCCTTAAGCTTAGTTATCATCTAATAATCATAAACCAACTTTTATTTCAACAAATAATCAACTAACCACAAAGCTCACCTTTGCCATGGTGACTCACGGCTGAAGAAGAAGAAGAGAACTCTGGAAGTTTATTTTGCCTTCTTTTCTCTTCCACGTGGCTTCCTTATCTAATAAAGGAAAATAAAAATCTTCCATGTCAAATAACTATTTTACCCTTTACTTCATTCAATAATTACTAAATAACCTTCATCATATTTCCAATAAATCATTGAACTATTCAATTATCCCACTTTAATCACCAATTCCTGAAATTTTACAATTTGGTCACTAACCCGGTATTAAGGATGTTACACTTATAATCACATAGTCATAACTATACTTTAACTCATGCATTCATATATTCAAAACTGTGAAAATAGTCTTATCACAAGTCTACTTTTCATATATCAATATACATAATAATAAGCACTCACCTGGCCTCACTAGTCAATTCCAACACTTATAACTTTTTTTATCGAACTTATCTCGTTAACTCATCTGGTACTTGCTTCTGATTGCTATCTACACAAATAAACTACTTATGAATATCGGAGTTCAAATCACTTATAACCAATCAATCTAACTTATGCTGGAAGAAACACTTGATTTAGCATTTTAGCTTAATAGTATCGATACTCTTACTATAGTATCGATACTCTTACTATAGTATCGATACTACCCACCTATGGTATCGATACTCCCCTAGGTACCGATACCATTTTTACATTCTGTACTTACAGCTTGATAATGGTATCGATACTAGACACTGGGTATCGATGCCCCTTCAACAAGTATCGATACCACCCTTTAGGTATCGATACTTTTTTTAAAGATTTCATCCAATATCATATGGTATCGATATTGTTCCTTCAGTATCGATACCCTATGCTTAATTTATACTCCTTTAGCTTTGAAGTATCGGTACTGGATGAACAAAACCGATACCCCATGCCTAAAACTCACTTGTTTCACCCGAAAATTTCCCATAATTTATCTAACTTCCACTCTCCTAACTTCTTTTGACTCATTAAACTCAAATATACCTACTCAAACCATTTTATATCACTTTAACTCATCAAATCATCCAATATCTCATTAGAACCCTTGAATTTAAAAATCTTGCCAATTATTCAACATGTTCTTAATTCACTTATATTACTTCTAACTTCTTAATTAGATCATTGACAAGTTAAATATGATTTAAAAATCCATTTATAACTTCTTCCTCATCAATTCACTTGAAAACTCTTTATATTTAATTCTTCATAACTTATTCACCTTGGAGTTTCAACACACTTTAATCTCTCATTAAGCTTTCTTAACACTCCAAGAATCAAAACTAAGCTTAAAACTCAAGAAATAATCAACTTACAAGACTCACCTTAGAAATGGAGCTCACAACAACGAGGGAGAAGAAGAGAATCAATTCTCCAGACTTTTCTTTCCTTTTCATCTCATTTCCACGTGTTTAATATCCTTATAAAGGGAAGATAAAAATCATTCCTTTGAAAAGACCAATTTATCCTTACTTCATTCAATATTTTCTAAACAATACTTTACAAAATATTCCCAATAAGTCCTTGAACTTTTGACTTATTTCGAAATTGAATACAAAATTTACATTTTAGTCACTAGCCCGATTTTTGGGATGTTACACAAAGTTTGTACAGTTTTAGTTCCACTAGTTGAACTAAAAAAATGTTTTTCTTAACAAGCACGGTTATCGGTTGATATAAAAAATGTTATTTATATTTCCTTGGGAATAAGTTTTAAACTCACTAGGAGTACTTCTCTTCCTTAGATATGATTAAGATTAGATTTATAATTTATCAAAAAAATATTTTTTTAATAGTTTAAGTGATTATAAGTTAGTATATATTCAAAATCTTTCTTAATCATTAATATCGCTCACACCTTACAAACACAACTACTCGAACCAAAGACATTAAATAAGAATAATACTTCTTTTAACATACGAGGTGACTAACTAAAACAAAGTTTTAATAATAGGACATTAAATAAAAAATAAACTATGGTTTTGTATACTTCATGGTAGAACATATAATTATACGTGTTGGGTGTACAGATTTTAAATATAAACCTAAAACAAATTGTAAAGTATTATTTATATATTTGAAAAAAAAATATTTGTAATTTGAAAACAAAATCGACAACAGTTTACCGATATAATCCAAATGTCGAAACGAGTGCGTGAAGGGGGAAAAAACGTGAAAGTGTCAAAAAGGGAAATCCTGTCAACGAGAGAAAAAAAATCAAATATTTGACTACACAAAAACCAAGTAAAGTCCCGTACTTTTTGCCGCCATTTCATTCGCGCTCCTACAAAGCGCTTTGATTTCAAGAAAAGAAGAACACTAATTTTCACCTGAGTTTCCTAAGACAATCGAATCTGATTTTGATTCGTAGTTGGTTTCCTCAATTCAGTTTTTTGTCGACAGTCCAATTCTCAAAAAAAACCTCGCCATTGTCAGGTTGGTTTTCGTTTCTTCCTCTGGTTTCTCATGATTACCCAAAATCTAAGGATGGTATAAACTAAGATTTCAGTGGCTTTTATTTCAAGGTAAATTGCACCAGCCGGGAAGGAAATATGGCTAACCTTCGAGATATATCCGTTTCAGCTGCATTGAATCTTCTTTCTGCATTTGCATTCTTAGTGGCTTTTGCAATATTGAGGCTTCAACCAATTAACGACCGGGTTTACTTTCCGAAATGGTATCGGAAGGGGGCAAGGAGCAGCCCTAGTCGATCTGGACCAACTGTCAACCAATTTGTCAACTTAGATTGGAAGACATATATTAGATTCTTGAATTGGATGCCTGCAGCTTTGGGAATGCCTGAACCCGAGCTAATTGATCATGCCGGGCTCGATTCTGTTGTATATATTCGAATTTACCTTCTTGGGTAAGTTTTCTTTAGATGCCCGTTTGGCTGCTATTTCTGTTATTTTTCCAAATTAAGGAACAAAAAGTGTGGTTAGACATAGTAACAAATAATATACTAATCTTTTATGAGAATTTGGAAGTGAAATATACTATTTAGAGTTTCATATTGTTCTTTGCTGTGGATGAAGCAGTCTAAAATGATTAAGATGCCTTTTATTTGCAGCTTGAAAATAATTGTCCCCTTGGCTGTTCTTGCTTTCTTAGTTTTGGTCCCTGTCAATTGGACGGGGGAAACATTAGAGAGTATCAAGAATCTGACATTCAGCGACATTGACAAGCTGTCAATATCAAATGTTCCAGATGGGTCAAAAAGGTCAGGAATAACTTCTTTTTTTTTGCTCTTTTTTCTTATCAAATGCGATATTCTGATTGTCATCCCGAATTCATCAGTTATAACATGGGAAAGTTCTCGTGCAGTAACGTAAAATATAGGGTTGAATGGTTCAAACCAGGGATTTAAATTACGGTTGTACCCGTGTTTTTTGTTGCAGCTGTGTTTATCACAATTGCGAACATAACAGATGTTATTGAGGTCATTACGGGTATCGTGGTCATGCAATAACGGTTTCGGATGGCACCATTGACCCTATAATGGCCGCTATTCTGATAGCAGTCCACTATTTAAATACCTGGTTCAAACATCTGGTGCCATCAGTCAGTCTATATTAGCACAAAGCAAATGTAAAGCTTGTTTTTAGTACTTTCATTTCTGAGCATTTTAGAGATAAAAAAACCTGTTTTAGGCCCGCATTCAATTAATATAGTACCTTGCATCTTTTCCTTTTCAACTTTTACATTCACTTGAGTAGTGTTATACCTTAAAATTTTCATTTTTTCTAAAATATATGTTTAATTTCTTTGTTATGAGAAGGTTCCGGCTTATCATTTTCAGGTTCTGGGCTCATATTGTTATGTCATATGTATTTGCTCTTTGGACCTTTTATGTGCTATATGTTGAATACAAAATAGTAGCTTCTATGAGGTTAAAATATCTGGCATCAGAAATACGTCGTCCTGATCAATTCACAGTAAGTTTTTTGCTTTGTTCGCTGGCTAATGCCCATGCTGTTGTTGTGTTGTTATTTAGAACTGCTGATTATCTTAGACAGGTTGATTTGTTATTGCACTAGAATTCCTAATTAAAAACATCAAAACCCATGCATATTCTGGTACTGGCACCATATCTAGTTTGAAGACTTGAAGTACTCAGATTGTATGTCTTGCAACAGCTTCAAACGGCTACCTTTAAAATTTTCAATTATCATCAATAGTATTTCATATTTTATTCTCATTAAAGTTGCAAGTTAAGATGTTTTATTTTTGATGAAGAATTTCAGATGTAGTATTGAAATCAGATACAGACCTAAAGTTATGCTCCTTAACGTATCAGACAATGAAATAGTGAAGTTTTGCTTAGTATTAATCAAGTATTTTAGCACATTATGAAGTTATACGTCTAGTATAAATATGAACTGTCGTATACCTTCCTAACGATCAGGCTTTATGAAGTATATTTGTCGAAGGCATTTTATTATCATTGAATTTGGCACTCATCTTCAAGGATGCCCCCCTCTTTTCTCGTCCCCCAGTTTGGTCTTTCAGGATCATTGTTCTGTTATAACTGCTTAGGCAGTATCATTGCTCCTTTATTCACCTGAATGTTTTTAGGTACAATGAGCCTTGGGCTCCATGACGGGAGGTAGCCCTCTCCCATTTCATAAACAGGGTCCTTCATCTTAGGACTAAAGATCCGACCTTGAATCAAAACGACTCACTGTTGGTGTAAGATAGATGGCAGTTGTGACAATTATTTGCAGCTGCCTATCATGTTTGAAACAATCAGTATAGATGTGCATGCATGCTAGAGCATTTCTATCACACCCCAGCTTTAGCACTTGTATTTAATTTTCCTTTCTTTTGTTTACTTTAATATGTTTCGCAGGTTCTAGTGAGAAATATTCCGCCTGATCCTGATGAATCAGTTAGTGAGCACGTTGAACATTTTTTTCGTGTAAATCACCCTGATTTTTATCTTACTCATCAGGTTTGTTTCTTTGATAAGTTGATTCACCTATGATAATTTGTCTGGTAAATAAGTTCTATGTAGCAGTAGTACAGGGGAGGAGGATAATAGGCCGTCTCACATGGAAAATAATAAAACCTTGCAATTTTTTGTACTGATGGTGCCTCTATATTTTTGTTTGCCACTGATAAGTTTCTATAACATACTGCTTTACTCTGTAACTTTGATAGGTTGTATATAACGCAAATAAGCTTGCAGAGTTGGTTGAAAAGAAGAAGAGTTTACAAAATTGGTATACTTACTACCTTAATAAGTATGAGAGGACTTCAAAGAGCTCGACCACTAGGGTAATATATTTGCTTGACAAACTTATTACTGACATTTATTTAGCTCCATTTCATTTCTCGGTGGAATAATAGTTAGTTCCATATTGATTTTCAGCTGCCCAGTTAATTATCAAATATTTTGTAATTATAGACAGGTTTCTGTGGTCTATTTGGCGATAAAGTTGATGCAATCGATTATTACTCCTCGGAGATTCAGAAGCTGAGCGAAGCAGTAAGTTTCAGTGTATTGTAGTGACTGTATTAGGGATTTTTTTTTTCAATTTCATGTATGCTTGTTTCTTGCAATACTATGTACCTTTTATTCTTACTTTTACAATTATCATTACATCTTTTGCTATAATCATTCTTGGCATAAAGGGAAGTAGTTCAAACAATTTGGTAGCATTGCTTATCTCAATGCTGAACCTCTGTTATATGGCTAAAGTTTCCAATAGGAGTCTATATCTTTTGGAAATTGTTATACTGTTTCTCTTGGTTAAGAATCACTCCTTCCTTATGTCCGCATTCCACACACACATACATTGACTTGTAAGAGTCAGAGAACTTGTTCTGTCAATTTCTTATTCAATTAAGGAAAGAATTCACAGGAGCAAAACAATAATACAAATAAGATGATATATAGTTAATTTTCAGGAAATGTCATATACTCTCCCTCCTTTTCTTCCCTTCTCTTTATAAGGAATACCAGAAAACATGAAGCTGTTTTGTTGAAGACAACAATAGAGTGTTGTTTTTTGGCTTCTTTTAATGTTTAATTTAGTAACAAGGAAACTGTAATGTTGTCATTTTTATATAGGAAGCTTCAGAAAGAGAAAAAGTCCTGAGTGATCCAAATGCTATAGTTCCAGCAGCTTTTGTTTCATTCAAATCCCGATGGTCAGCAGCTATATGTGCTCAAACTCAGCAATCGCATGACCCAACAATTTGGTTGACAGAATGGGCTCCTGAGCCACGTGATGTTTATTGGAGTAATCTTGCTATACCATATTTTGATCTTACTATTCGGAGGTTGCTCATGGCCGTTGCACTATTTTTTCTTATTTTCTTCTTCATGGTCCCTATAGCTTTTGTTCAATCTCTAGCCAATATTGATGGGATTGAGAAGGTTTTTCCTTTCTTGAGGCGATTAATAGAAAAGTAAGTTGCTTATCAGTGTTGTTTCGTTAAAGTAGCATTTCTTTGTCTGCCCTCAATATTTTCCTCTATATGATCAGTCATCATACGTTTGGCCTCTAAATGTATCCTGAATTATATCTCCATCTTGTTTAACATTTCAACTATTGTCAACGTTCTAAGACTTGAAGGAGAAATTTCAATTGTTGGAAAACACTTTTTCAGGGAGTCTGTCAAGTCCTTCATCCAAGGGTTTCTTCCTGGGATTGTACTGAAGATATTTCTTATTCTACTTCCAACAATTCTTATGACAATGTCCAAGATAGAAGGATTTCCATCACGCTCATCTTTGGATAGACGATCAGCTGGGAAATATCACCTATTCCTTCTCGTCAATGTATTTCTTGGGAGTATTATCACTGGTGCCGCATTTGAGCACCTTAAAATTTTCCTTCACCAGCCTCCAACAGAGTATGTACCTAACTATTTCCAGAAAAATTGATGGATTAACACACTTTATATTACGTGACAATATCTTCTGACAGACATGTAGCTATTTGCACTGAACTACAATGTGCCAATTCATTAGGTATTATTATAAACCCTTTCTGTGTTTTGGTGACCAGAACTGAGACACGGTACCTTCATAGTTTTTAATCCATGTTAGACCTCTGATTTTGTTTCATTCTTTTTACCATTTAGTTCCTTCCATTCTGTTTTCAGCTGCAGTGCATTCTTTTCTCTGTAATAATCCTATTCATGCGCAGCTCCTAAGATCTGAACTCTCCTCATGCTATTTATATTATGCTGTTTTATTTGACCATACCAGACAATATGCAGGTCTGATTGACTGGAGATATTGTGTTACTTATGCAGGATTCCGAAAACCGTTGGTGAATCTATCCCGATGAAAGCCACTTTTTTCATTACTTATATAATGGTTGATGGATGGGCGGGGGTTGCTGCAGAAATCCTCAGATTAGTACCTTTAATAATTTTCCACCTGAAAAATATGTTTTTAGTGAAACAGAACAAGATAGGGAGGAAGCAATGGATCCTGGTTGTCTAAACTTTGCAACATATGAACCAAGGATACAACTGTATTTCTTGCTCGGACTTGTTTACTCTGCTGTCACACCTGTACTTCTTCCTTTCATCATCATCTTCTTTGCTTTTGCCTATGTGGTATTTCGTCACCAGGTATTTGCTGCTCTTAGCTGTATGAAGCTTTGTAGCTTCCCTATATTGGTATAATCCTCACCCGTTCTTGGTTTGCACCTTTGTTTCATGCTGCAAGGTTATCAACGTGTATGATCAAAAATATGAGAGTGGAGGGTCATTCTGGCCAGATGTGCATCGACGTCTGATCATTGGTTTATTAATATCTCAACTTCTTCTAATGGGGTTGTTGAGCACAAAGAACATCGAGAAATCAACAATTGCACTCATTCCTCTTCCTATTATGACCATCTGGTTTCACGTATACTGCAAGGGCCGTTTCGAATCTGCATTTGTAAGGTTCCCGTTGCAGGTAAGGAACACTTTCAAAGGAAAAACATTAATATAAACGAGTATATTTACAAGATACTGTAAATATGTTATATGCCCTTAATACTTTTGCTAGTCTTTCCTAACTGATGATAGTCTATTTAGTAGGAAAAATTAACATGTTTCTTCCTTGATCTTTATCTGGATGACACTTTTTTTTTAACTATTAAAACACAGGATGCAATGATCAAAGATACACTCGAACGGGCAACGGAGCCGACCTTAAACTTGAAAGACTACCTTAAGGATGCTTACATACATCCAGTTTTCAAGGGCAGAGACTACTTCGAGAGCCCACAATTGGTTTCGGATGAAGAGAGCAACACGCTTGTGATGACAACAAGGATGGGTAAACATTATGCAGAATCCATTTTTACAAACAGTAGTTAGAGATAGAAGAAACCAGCCTCATTGTTCAGTATTAGCATTTGGTCATCATGTTGTTCTTGTAGATATACGAGATTTTTGTATTGAGTTGTTGAAATGTAGTCCCAAAGATGATTGAAACAAATTGCTTATACAATGTTCACAAATTTGTTCAAAATGAATTTATGATGCTGCCATAAACTCTCTTGCTTTAACATTAAAAAGAACTTAATCAGAGAAGTGGTACTCATGAGAAATTATTTAGGTAAGGCTTAATTTCCAAGAAGTGCCCAAACCATACATTTTGTGCTGAATAAGTGCCTACAATAATTTTTGACACTTCCAGATGCTTAATGTTACAATTGTTAGCCCTTTAAGAGCTCGAGACATAACGGTCGTTAAATAAAAACTGTTATCTATCATTTATTGACACGTGTCCTTGATTGTAATTTCTTTTTCATTTTTCTATAAAATTTGAATATATAAAAATTAAAATAAATAAAATATTAATATTTTAATCCTAATATTTTTACCTAAAAGTAAAAAACCTAAAATTTACCACAACCTCCTTCCTTTTCTCTTCCACACCCATTTTAGGGAGAGAAGGGGAAGGAGGATCGTGATAAATTTTAGGATTTTTTACTTTTAGGGTGCGTTTGGTTCACGGAATGTAAGATTACCAGTGGGAATAAAAGATTACCAAAGAATATGATTACTGGGAATGTTGTATTTTGTGTTTAGTTGGTTTAGTATGAATGTATGATTACCGTGTTTGGTTAAAAGAATAAAAGATTATTAGAATGTATATTTAATCAAATTGTCCTTATTATATATGTTGTTTTTTTAACAAGTTGAATTCTACTATAATATTACTATAAGATATTTATATATTTTCTTTAAAAATTTAAATTCATAAAATTTATATAATATTTTTTACAAAATTGAAAATATAAAAAGATTTAATGAAAGGGTAAAATTTTATTTTAACGCTTGAACTTCATATAAAATTTTAATTATAGACTTTTTTGTAAATCTAAAATAGTTTAAGGATAAATTTGTAATTTAACCTTCGTAGAATTTTTATTATTCAATGACAGAAAAATGATATTTTTGAAGAAAAAAATTTAAGGGCATTTTAGTCTAAAATGTTGGTAATCCAACAATACCTAAGGGAAGGGGTAATGACATTCCCGGTAATATATCCCAAAAATCCACTATTGGTAATAAAACATTACTGTGAATGAGATTACAGGCCAACCAAACGGAGAATGTGGATTTCATTCCCCTAGTAATCTTATATGACTTGAACCAAATAGCCCCTTAGGTTAAATTATTAGTATTAAAATATTAATATTAATGTTTTATTTATTTTATTGTTTACATATTCAAATTTTTTAAAAAATAGACGTGTAAAAAAATAAATTGATAACGATTTTTATTTAACAGCCGTAATATTTCGGACATCTAAAAAACTAACGTTTATGATGTTAAATATTTGGATGAGCAAAAAATAATATACACACGAAAACACACCGTTTAAGTCACAAATCACATAGATAATAAAAAAAAAAGGGGTAGATCAGAAATGAATGTGGTTGTGCGGTCGTTACGAAAGCTATAAATTGCAAGCAACGACAAATCTGCACTGATCTGACTTACTACACCCATTTCTCGTTTTCCCTTCTCATTCTGGGCTATCTCAGTCGGATTTTCAGCTTTTAGAATCCAAATGCTGTAAGTTTTACTCTCTGTTTCTTTTTCTTCTGCCACTTTTTTTTTTTTTTAATTTCTTGATTATCTGGGATCATAACTGGCTCTATATGCTTCTTTTAACAACTGGGTATTAGCTAGATTTTCATTACGAACGGTTCATGTTTTAAGTTTCCAAATTTCCTTAGGCTGCCGGTTTCTTTTAGTTTCGATTTTCATGTATGAAAATCTTTCATTTCTTTTCTGCATTCTCTACAGGAAATGCTTGACGTTCTACAATTGCATTCGTTAGCATGGATTCGATTGCTTTTGATACAAGGAAACTGGGGTAACTGTTTCTGTTTTGAATTTGTTATGGATTCTATGTTAGCAGTTGTTAATTGATTTGTTAATAACTGTAATAGCTTTGTATATAAACAATTATGCAAGAAATGAGAAATATCAGAATTCAGAAGTGGTTTCCCGATATTGCTTCATTCTCTCAATTCTCACTCCATTTAAGCTTAGTTTTATCGATCACCGTTTTGTCTCTTCGGTGACTGTTCATCATCTCTGCTGTATCAGCTTTCTGGGTCTGAATCTTTTTAAGGTCTTGATGTCTAAAACCAGCCAAAATAGTTATTTTGTTTTAGTTTACTGATTGAATGAACTAACCCTTTCTTTATTTCGAGCAGAAAGTCATCTGTAATCCAGTAAGAAAAATTTTCCTCCTTGTAAAGATTTTGTTCGCTATCTGGTTCAGAATCATTTTCTACTGCAAGCATATATGGCTAGTTTTTGTTCCTTCTTTAAAATAGGGCCCCATGGCCTGAACCTTGGAGCCACTGAATTGTCTAAATTCTCGGTTGTCACTGGTTATCTTTGTAAAAACAAAATGGGACAGAGCCTTCAGAGAATAGATGAAGGAAAAAAGTTTTTACCCGGAGAAATTGTACAAAATGCCACGCTTCCTCCTCGGAGCATTGGTTTGAGATGCTTTGCTGCGTCACAAGTTTCTGAACAATCATTCCCTAAAACTAGCCAAGTTGAAGAACTGAAAAATCTATCGACTTTTCTTTTTAGTACTGAAATTGGTGGTCAGGTCAAAGTTTTTGTTGGGAAGAAAAGTGTCAAATATGTAGTAAATTTTGAAGTTTCATCGCTGCAGTTGTCCAGTGATGACAATCAGCTGGTGCTAAGTGGGGGCTTATACAGATCCGATCGTGATATAAAAAACATGATCATTGAAACCCCATTTATAGCGAGGTCTTCCAGTGAGTTAGCACTTGAGTTGGAATTTGAAGCTAAAGAAGTCCCATGCTACTTCTCGTTCCTTCTAAAAGCCTCATCAAGTGCAAATTCGAGCGGCTCGGAAATCAGGAGCCAGATGAAGTCTAGTTTTTGTGTACCAATTGGTTTTGATCAAGGGCATCCATCTCCATTGGGTCTTTCCTTTTCAACTGATGGTTCAATGAACTTTGCAGTCTATTCAAGAAACGCTGAAAGTTTGGTCCTGTGCTTGTATGATGATAATGCATCAGAAAAACCTGCTTTAGAGCTTGATCTTGATCCTATTGTTAATAAAACTGGTGACATTTGGCATGCTTCTATAGAAGGTTCATGGACCTTTGTGAGCTACGGTTATCGATGCAAGGGAAACAGAGACACATTCCATGCAGAGCGTGTTCTTTTGGATCCTTATGCTATGATAATCGGGAGTTCCATTCCTAGTCATCATGAGTCCGGTTTGCTTCTGAAACATCTTGGGCGACTAATGAAGGAGCCTGCTTTCAACTGGACTGGTGATGTTTTTCCAAACATAACTTTGGAAAATTTAGCAGTATATCGTTTGAATGTTATGCGGTTTACTGAAGATAAGTCTAGTAAGCTACCTGCTGATGTTGGAGGGACTTTCTCAGGTGTAACTGAGAAGGTACAGCATTTCAAAGATCTTGGCATCAATGCTGTCTTATTAGAGCCAATTTGTACATTTGATGAGAAAAAGGGACCATATTTCCCATGTCATTTCTTTTCTCCAACAAACCTGTATGCGCCTTCTAATGGTTCTGTATCTTCTATCAATTCAATGAAGGGGATGATTAAGAACTTGCATGCCAATGGTATCGAGGTCTTCCTGGAAGTAGTTTTTACCCATACTGCCGAGGGTGGATCCCTGCAAGGACTTGACAATTCATCCTATTATCACAAGACTGGTATTGAAGATTCAGAAGCTAGAAATGCTTTGAACTGTAACCACCCCGTTGTTCAACAGTTGATTTTAGATAGTCTCCGGCATTGGGTGACTGAATTCCACATCGATGGTTTCTGTTTCATTAATGCTTCATGTTTGTTGAGAGGATTTCACGGTGAACACTTGTCTCGCCCTCCCTTGGTTGAAGCAATAGCTTTTGATCCAGTGCTGTCCATGGCTAAAATCATTGCAGATTGCTGGGATCCATATGACATGATGCCGAAGGAAATGCGTTTTCCTCATTGGAAGAAATGGGCAGAAATGAATACAAAGTTTTGTACCGACATACGAAACTTTTTGAGGGGTAAGGGTGCTCTGAGTAGTCTTGCTACACGGCTTTGTGGGAGTGGAGACTTATTCTCTGATGGCCGAGGCCCAGCATTTTCGTTTAATTTTATCGCCAAGAATTTCGGACTTCCTCTTGTGGACTTGGTCAGCTTTAGTAATGCCGAGTTAGCTTCAGAAATAAGTTGGAACTGTGGGGAAGAGGGACCTACAAGTAAAACTGCCGTGCTCGAAAGAAGACTCAAACAAATTCGTAATTTTATTTTCATTTTGTACATTTCGCAGGGCGTTCCTGTTCTTAACATGGGAGATGAATGTGGCCAATCTTCCGGCGGCTCCCCATCATATGGTAGCAGAAAATATTTGGATTGGAATGCTATGACAACAGGTTTTGGTATTCAAACAACAAAGTTCATCTCGTTTTTGAGCTCGCTAAGAATAAGGCGAAGCGACCTTCTTCAAAAACGGAACTTTCTCAAAGAAGAAAACATTGCATGGCATGGAAGCAATCAGTCACCACCAGGATGGGAAGACCCCACATGCAAATTCCTGACAATGACATTGAAGGTTGATAAAGCAGAGGACCAGCTGAATCCCGAGGCTTCTGAACTAAAGGGTGACCTGTTTATTGCCATTAATGGAGCTGATAAAACAGAGACCATAATCCTACCCCCGCCTTCCGAAGGGATGGCATGGCGTCAATTAATTGATACGGCATTACCATACCCAGGCTTTTTCTCTGTTGATGGTAAACCTGTTCGTGAGCAAATGGTGGGGTTAGTTGCTTATGAAATGAAGTCTCACAGCTGCACTTTGTTTGAAGCTTGTAATGACAACAGTTAATGTAATCCAATTCCCCTCCATTTTCTGCGCTGAAAACCTTTATAGACCAGTAAATGCCATACGCACAACCTTCTTTTCTGTATC